GATGTTCTTGATGTCTTTCCACAACTCCCTGGTTTTTGTCATTAGTGCCTGGTGCATCAAATCTGTTTGTGAGATGATTTTTAAATTCAAGTGGGATATGTTCAAGGTCACATTTTGGCTCTTGTAGACTTCTTTTAATTTTCTTTAACTTCAGCCTGAACTTGCATATTAGCAATTGATGGTCTGCTAAACAATCCACACCTGGCCTTGTTTTGGCTGATGATGTGAACTTTTCCATAGTTGTCTTCTTTGGTATTTTAGGAAGGTATTTATAATGAAGAAGTCATTGGTCTTGTAAAATTCTATCATGCGATCTCCAGCATTGTTTCTATCACCAAGGCCATATTTTCTGTCTGCTGATCCTTTCTCTTTATTTCCAACCTTTGCATTCCGATCATCATTTATTATCAGTACATCTTGATTGCATGTTTGATCAATTCAGACTGATGAAGTTGGTAGAATTCTTCAATTTCAATTAGTGGTCGGTGCGTAAATTTGAATAGTATGGTATTAACTAGTCTTTCTTGTTGGTGTATGGCTATTATCTTATTGCAGACATTGTACTTAAAGATTTTGATGATGAAATTCCTCTTGAATTTGTCATTCCTGGCATAGTAAACAATATGATTGTCAGATTAAAAATATCCAATACCAATCCATTTCAGTTCACTCATACTGCCTAGTATATCAATATTTATGCATTCCATTTAATTTTTTGACAACTTCCAATTTTTGTAGATTCATACTTATCTATTTCATCTTCTAATTATTAACCTGTTTATAGCTGTTTCTCCTCATTTTGAGAATTAAGCAAATTAAGATTCCAAAAGCCTTACTCTATTTGTGTCATCATGGTCAACTCTACTTTGAGGAGACAGCTCTTCCCCAGTTGTATTTTGATTAGTGTCCAACCTGAAGGGCCCATCTTCCAGCACCATATCTGACAATGTGTTTCAATATTCAGTATTCTGGTGCTCACAGTGTTCCACTACTATTCTTAAGATTTTCTGTGGCCAAACATGTTCCTCTGCTGTTCATCAGGGTTTCAGTGACTAGGCAGTCAGATTTATATGAAGAGATTATCGTGTGCCTGTTGTGTTCTACACATTAACCTAAAGATTAGTAGCTTGAACCAACTCTGCTCTGCAGAGGGAAAATCTACTTTTGTAACGATTTTCAGATTCGGAAATCCTTTGGGGTGATTCTCTACTCTGTCTTCTAGGGTTGTTTATGAGTCAGAGTCGACTCAGTGGCAGTGAGTGGCTTCTCAGCACTGGGAATAGGTACTGCAGTGGTAATCAAGACAGAAGAGTCTCTGTCCTGATAGACTTTGCATTTTGAACATATAGGGGAGGGGATTCAGACTATAAATTAATAAAATATTTTCTGATTGTTAAGAGCTGCTTGAATGAATAAAACTTGGGTCTTGCAATAGAATACCTAGGGCAGTGTAAGTGTTGGTTTTGGTTTCTAGCTGCCATGAAGTTGGTTCTGGACTCATGACAAACCTATGTGTGTCAGATGAGAACTAAGCTCCATAATGTTTTTCACTGGTTGATTTTACAGAAGTAGATCCCAGGATTTTTTCTGAGGTGCATTGGGTAGACTCAAACCTCCAACCTTTTGGTTAGCAGCCAAGCCAAGCTAACCATTTGCACCATCCAAACAAACAAAAACCCACTGCCACCCAGGGATTCTGGAAATGATGATTTATTGTTAAGTGCTGTCAAGTTGCTTCCAACACATAGCAACCTTGTATCATGTTTCCTAGAAGTAGCTAGTAGGTTTGAACTTCTGACTTTGTGGTTAGCAGTCTAGTGCTTATCCTATAGTACCACACCAGGATTCCAGAAGTGAGGATGGGGTGCTGTTTTGGAGAGATTTTATAAACTTAATACACTTGAGACAAATTTAGAAATCATTAGACTTTCTGAAAGGGGTGAATCCTAACACTCATTGGAGTTAAACTCTTTAACCATGGTTAAACTCTTTAACCATGTTCAACTGTAAGGGCAAAAAGCTAAAGGAACGTACCTTTAGACTTTTGTTTTATACATAAAATATTAGAGGCATAGGGAATGCACTGTATGATCTGGATTTTTTCCGTACCATAACTTGACAGATCACCTTCTTTATAGGTGAGGTGAACTCGAAACTCTTCAGTGTCTTGCCCTGTGAATGGTGCAAATATGGCATTCGCTCTTTTCTTGATGTGGTCCTCAACACAGTGATGACAATGTTGCATGTGCTAGTGCATATCTTCTATTTCTGAGGGATAAAATTAGAATGATGATTCATTCAGCTGGACAGTCAAACCTTTGCCTGCCATGTCCATATCTCCTTTTGAGGGTTTTCCCCGCATGTGGCCCTGATTGAACAGATGTAGATGTTATCTTTAGTCTGCTCAGGTGTTTAGGAGGTGTACTAGATCCAGAATACTGCACAGCTGGTGTGCCTCATGCTGTATAGGGAATGACCAAACCAATCAGACCTTTTTTTGTTAGAAGTTTGAGCTTTGCTCCTAGTTCAAGGAGAGATTTCTATTCTTGTAATCTTTATGTTCTTTAACAAATAAAATTTAAAAGCACAAATGAAAAGAGCCTTAGTGCAACACTGAGGTGGGAGAAGCTAACTGCAAGGTTGGCAGTTCAAACCCACCAACCACTCTCAGAAATCCCACATAAGATTGCTATGAGTCTGAAATGATCTGTCAGCACACAACAATAGCAACATGACATGTTCTTCCTAATAACTGAGCTTATATATATGAGCAGAACAACATATATGAAAAATAGATGCTTAACTGTTGGCACCACCCAGGGACGCCTATCAAGTAGTAGTTACGTTTTTCTCCATTTTTTAAATGCCAGTGGTAAAAATTAAAGATAATATAATTTTTGTGATTAAAATACAAACCTTGGACTTTGGTATCCTAAAGTTTGAGTTCTAATTCCACCATTTGCTAATTGTATGACCTTGGGCAAATTATTTCACTTTTTGAAGTTTCCTCAACTGTAAAATGGGATTGATAATGGTACCTGTCTAATAGTTGTTGTGAGGATTAAATAAAGTAATAGCATCACTGTTTCATAGTAAGTGTTCACTTGTTAAGTGCTAAAGAGTCAGTCCTGATTCATATCAACCCTGTATAGGGTTTCCAAGGAGCAACTGGTAGGTTTGAACCACCAACCTTTTGGTTAGTAGGCCAGTGCTTATCCTACAGCACCGGTAACAATAATTAATTCCTGCTGTTGTTGTGATGTGCCATGGAGTCGGTTCCGACTCATAGCGACCCTGTACAGGGTTTCCGAGGCTGTAAATCTTTTTGGGAGCAGAAAGCCTTATCTTTTTCCCGCAGAACAGCTGGTAATTTCGAACAGCCAACCTTGCGGTTCGCAGCCCGATTCGTAACCAGTACGCTACCAGAACTCCTTTAATTCCTGCTAGTATTCATATTTATATAAAGCTTATGATTCTAGTTTGTTACTCATATCTGTTTATTTTCACCTTGGAATAGTTATTGCATTTTTACATTAAAAAAAGGTTACTTATTAGATTCGTATGCATCTTTGATGTTCTTTGGGTAAATAGCATTGCTGTTTAGTCAGCTATGAACATTATGTGCTCTCTGTCACTTGTGAAGATAATGGTAGTGATTTCTTTATTGGAAGTTTTACATAACATTTGGCTAAAAGTATTGCTTTCTGATTTGCCCATAGTCTGCTTTGTTTATTTATTTATTTTTAGTCTGCTTTATTTTTATTACCTTTTTATTTATTTATTTTTTGCCGCACACTTCTGAAATGGTTCTCTATTTGACATTTTAAATTACTGAGGAGGTTTATGAGTCTTCTTTTCTAAAAAAGACGCCCTTGATAAGAAACTAATTGATCAAACTTGGGCCGAATAAGCCATTTGACCTGTGGTAGCTGAGATGGATTGCTCTAGAAACTCCTTTAACATTAATTTGGGTATTCAATAGATTTAATGGTGTAAAGAGCCCTGGTAGTATAGTGGCTTATGTGCGGGCCTGCTAACCCAAAGGTCAGTAGTTCGAATCTATCAGTCACTCCATGGGAGAAAGATGAGGCTTTCTGCTGCCGTAAAGATTTACAGCCTCAGAAACCCTATACAGTGTCACTGAGTCAGAATTGACTTCATATCACATAATCACCACCACCACCACCATTAGTAGTATACTACCCTGATGTGGTTCTATAGGATAAGCACCAGGCTGCTAACTGCAAAGTCGGTGGTTTAAACCCACCAGCCTTTCCTTGGAAACCCTATATAAGGTTGCTGTGAATCTGAACTGACTCTAAAACACTTAACAACAACTTAATACCCTCATTAATACCTAGTGCACTGGATATTTTCTGTTACAGGTTCACATGTAAGTCCTTATTTCCTTGTGTGAATTAGCAGTCTTCCAAATCTTTTAAGAGCTGGGAGCATTCATGGGAGTGTGGTGGTGTGTGTCACATAAATAACTAGAAAGATGGTCAGACACATCAAAGATTAAAAGGTTTTATTAGCAGGCATTGGAAAGGGATTTCCTATAATTACATGACTTAGCATTGCCTGAATGCAGTATATATTTGGAACATGGGAAGATGAAAATGTTTGCTTCTAGTTTTGGGTCCATTATGACTTTATTTCAGATACTAGAATGTTGAGGCTATGTTAAAACTATTCAACTCAAGTAAGCATCAGGAATAGCCTTCATTAAATTATTTTAAAATGTCACTTGTGTTTGTCTTGAATAATTTTATTTCTTTTAAATCTGTTTTGAAACCCAGTAACCTATTCATTTTTCAACTTTTATTGCAGTGCCTGATCAGCTTTCTAGCAGGAGAACGATCATGGAGGTGGTGCCAGCTGAGGTGAATAGTTTGCTTCCAGAGGAGATAATGGACACTGGTATAACATTAGTGGATGATGATAGTATTGAGGCTGTTATTGTTTCATCCCCAATTCCCATGGAGACAGAACTGGAAGAAATTGTCAACATAAATTCTACTGGTGACTCTACAGCCACGCCCATTTCCACGGAACCAATCACAGTGTACAGTAACCACACTAACCAAGTTGCAGTGAAAACCACAATTACTAAAGCAGATTCTAATACCACAGTGAAACCAGCTTTTCCAAGTGGCCTTCAGAAACTTGGTGCTCAGGCTCCTGTGACTATATCAGCCAATCAGATTATTTTAAACAAAGTATCACAGACATCTGATCTTAAACTTGGCAATCAGACCCTTAAACCAGATGGACAGAAGTTAATTTTAACAACTTTGGGCAAGTCTGGTTCACCAATTGTTTTAGCACTACCCCAGACTCAGAAAGTTACAACTCAGGCCCAGTCAGGAGATGCAAAGTTACCACCACAACAAATTAAAGTAGTTACCATTGGAGGGAGGCCAGAGGTGAAACCTGCCATTGGCGTCTCAGCATTGACCCCAGGAAGTCAACTGATTAATACTACAACTCAGCCCTCTGTGGTACAGACACAACAGTTAAAAACAGTACAGGTAAAAGAAAAAGGGGGCTTGTTAAATTCAAATGCATGTTACAAATTTAAATTGATTCATAGTTGTGTTTGCAGGATGATTGATTACATTGTTGTTACTGAATTCTTTTGATTGTTGCTTTTAGTAATTTTGTGGGGTTTTGTAAAGGTTGATATGCCCATTGCGTATGAAAATTTTTGCCAGAGAATTTACAGCAAACAAAATTTTAGTTAAATTTCTAGTTATTTTCTGCATAGCCCTCTACTCCTTTTAAAGACCATTTTATTTTTAGTGATAGTTTGATTACAAGAATGATTTGTAGCGATTAAGATGCCAGGATTGCTGCTAGACTTCTAAAAAATCATTAAGATAATTCTTTTCACTTGACAGTTGGCCAAGGTGGGAAAACTTTGCTGTTCTGAGAAACAGTAATGATGCATATTAGCTAGTGTGGTCTATGTCTTTGGAATTTCTTATTTAGTGCCATCATTCACATTTGCAATATGGAAAAGACAGTGCCTTGGAACTGTCTGTAGGAACTATAGGAACATATGTTCTATAGAGTTCAATCGCCTATGAGTTCCCTCTGTTGCTCTACCAGCTATGAAACTTTGGGTGGCTTACTTATCTTTAAGTTTGTGACTTTAGCTATAAAATGGCTATTTGACCAAGATGAAATGTACAGTAAAAGTACCCAGTATTATTCTCAAAACACTGAGCATCCTTCAAACTGTGACCTATTCCTAGTATGAATAGGATCCTAAGATAGAAGATTATCAGAGAATTCATTAAATGCTTCCCAGATTTTCATGGTCCAGTAGACCTTTTTAAGTTATCATTACAGAAATATAATTATCCACTTGAGACTAGGGAATACAAATGCATTCTTTGTTTGAAAGAATTGCCTCTTTGAAGAGGGGAGAAGGCATGCATTGCAGTAGTAAAACAGGTATATAAGGAAGTAGAAGGCTTGAGGAACTGTCTACTTCCAGTTGATATTGGAAGTAATGTTTTCATTACTGTACTGACAAAAGAATTAGAAATAGTTTTCCATTGTATTTAAGAGCTTTCTCAAATCTTGTGATTTGCCCATGTCCCTTCTGCTATTGTTAAATGTTCTTTAGTGCCCTTTTCTTGTTCATTACCATATCCCACTTATCTCTGGTTTCCTTTTTCTTCTTACTTTTTGATGAGGGTTTCTTGAGTGAGATATCCAATCAGTATCAAGCATCTTGGCCTTAGCTTGATTTTTATCAGTTTTGAAACTTGTTTTTATTGGTTTACCAGATACTGAAAGCATAAACCAGATTGTCAGTTTTTCATTTGCAAGAACAATGTGTTGTTGTTGTTGTTGTTGTTGTTGTTGGGTGCCATCCACTTATTTTTGACACACAGTGATCCTGTGTGCTAAAGAATGAAACACTGCCCAGCCCTGCACCATCCTCACAATTGTTATGTTTGAGCCCCTTGTTGCAGCCGCTGTACCACACCATCTTGTTGGGCGCCTTCCTCTTTTTCACTGGTCTTTTGCCCAACATGATGTCATTCTCCAGGGACTGATCCCTCCTGATACCATATCCAGTGTATACATACCAATTTAATGACCAGTGTACTTGTGTCCTCTAGTTTTCTACAATAATCCCCCAAATGGTGTTGTTGTTAAGTGCCATCAAGTCAGTTCCGACCCTTAGCAACCGTGTAATAGGGTTTCGGAGGAGCGGCTGGTGAGTTTGAACTGCCACCTTGCAGTTCAAACTAACTTTGCAGTCCAGTGCATTAACTCGCAGTGCTACACAAGGACTCCCTAAATACTAATAAAAATAAACACTGGGGATTAATTTTTATAATTTACTATTAACTTTTATAGATCTTGGTTCTATCTATCTATCTATCTATCTATCTATCTATCTATCTATCATCTATCTATATATAAGTACTACTAGTAAACAGCAAAAAAAAACCCAACAAACTTCATTTCAAATACTGTTCTATGTGTTCAGTTATTTTTAGACAACTCAGATCATTCCAATTCAGAAGTAATCTGCAAAGCTCTGATGTACCCAGATGGGGGGGGAGGGGAACCAAAAAGTTACCTATTTATCTTTTTTAGGTACTAGAATATTTGCCTTTAGTATTACATGGTATATGTGATATTTTTACCTAATCAGCCCTGGTGTAGCATTGTAGGATAAGCATTGGACTGGCAACTGCAAGGTCAGTAGTTCAAACCCACCAGCTGCTCTCAGAAACCCTGAGCAAGGTTCCTATGAGTTGGTACTGACTCAGAAGTACACATTAACAATAACAGTCCTTGGGGGTGGTGGTGGTAGTGTGAAGTCAGTTCCAACTCTTAGCAACCCTGTATAGGGTTTCTGTGGCTATAAATCTTTATGGGAACAGAAAGCCTCATCTTTCTCCCATAGAACCGCTGGTAGTTTCAGACTAGCTGACCTTGAGGTTAATAGCCTAACTTGTAACCACTATACTGCCAGAGCTCCTTAAACAGTCCATAGCTTTGTCTTAATTTTAATTAGTGTTAAGACTGTTAGAGCATAGACAGTAAGTCGGTAAGGGTGGAAGAAGGAGACCCTTCTTAAGGGAAAGATGACAGTTGAGGCCAGGGCAATAACAAACCAATATAGTTACACTTAATTACAAGTTTCTGAGCATTTTCTGTGTTTTATGTGCATAATATATAATAAGAAAATCATTGACATCAGGTCGGTTCCATCTCATGTAGGATTTCTGAGGTTGTCAATATTTATTAGAACAGAAAGCTGCCTCTTTCTTCCTTGGAGCGACTGATAAATTTGGACTGCTGATTCTGCAGTCAGTAGTCAACTGTGTTCTGGTGTGGCACTGTGGGTTAATGAGCTGGACTGCAAAGTCGATTTGAACCGTAAGGTCGGTAGTTCAAGCTCACTCGCCGTTCCTCGGAAACCCATCCACGGTCACTATGGGTCGGAAACAATTTGATGGCACTCTTAATAGGAGCTCTGGTGGCATAGTAGTTACAAATCGGCCTGTGAACCACAAGGTCAGCAGTTCGAAACTACCAGCTATTCCGCAGGAGAAAGATGCTCCCGTAAAGATTTATAGCCTCGGAAACCCTGTACAGAGTTGCTGTGAGTCGGAACTGACTCCACAGCACATAACCACCACCAATAACTACAACAGCCCAATGCGTAACCCACTATAATAGAATAGTAAATGACTAGGAGTCAGAAAAGTGTAACCCCTTATTTTCTTCTAAATCTAACACAATGCCATAAACTGCCTGAATGTATTATTTGATGGCATGTTTGACTACTTCCTTTGTAAATTTCCTTTTTTGATGTATTTTTGTCTTAATCTGCCAATTAGATAAAATTATTTAAAATGATCCTTTATGATTTATTTTACTTGATAAAGTAATTTTGTGTGGCACCATAGGATAAGCACTCGACCTCAAGGTTGGTTTGAACTGCAAGGTTGGCAGTTCAAACTCACCAGACGCTTCTTGGAAATGCTATGCAGGGTCTCTATGAGTCAGACTGACTTGATGGCACTTAACAACAATTGCAACAAGCATTCATAATGCAAAAATTCATGCTTCTTTAATGGAATTACAAATTGTTATTTTCAGCAATGCTCCACTAAAGAAACAACCACAAAGGCAAGATGAGGTTGTACATTTAAATAATTAATGTGCAATTTTGCTTTATTGTTTTAAGTTTTTTCCTGCTTGGTAAGTATTCCTATAAGTCACATTGTTGTGAAAATGGTTAAAAATAGTAAGGTTCCTTAAGCTCTTAATGTGTACTTTTTAGCTAAGGTTATTTGGATTTCTAAGAACATCATTACTTCCACCTCTTGAAATTACTAATACTATTAACTGAAAAAAGGAGCTCTGGTAGCGTAGTGGTTACGAATCGGGCTGCGAACCTTAAGGTCAGCGGTTCGAAACTACCAGCCGCTCCGCGGGAGAAAGATGAGGCTTTCTACTCCCGTAAAGATTTACACCCTCGGAAACCCTGTACAGGGTTGCTATGGGTCGGAACCGACTCGATGGCACTTAACAACAACAAGAACAATTAACTGAAAATTTAACTTATTTCTTATAACTACATGTGCATTTGGGAAATATTTTGCCTGTATGTCTCCCTGAGTTGTATCAACTTTTTAAAGTGTAATTATAGATTTTTGGGGGGTATGTAATAGTTTTATATGCGGAGTATTTTAAAATATAGTAAGGATTCTCCATGTTTAGTGTTTTAAAAAGTGGTTTGCATTTAATTTATATTTTTTTTGTCAGTGCTATGTTCTAAAGGTAAGAAACTAATATTCTGAGTGCAAAAAAGTGTGTTATTTCATTTCAGTTTATAATTTGAGCACAAATAACTGATATTTAGCTAAATCTATGTTGTGTTACAGCTTCTGGTATATGAATTTCTATCACTGAAGTTGTCATGATAATAAATACATTATTCAGAGTCTTATTTTCTATATCTGCTAAATGATAATATTTAATGTACTTCCTAAAAGTTTGATTTTTATCATAGCTAAATTTTTCTTTTAGAGGAAGCTTTTACTTTGCATACTTCCATAATTTTAACCTGAAAATACTGGTAACTCTACTTTGCTTAATTTGTGAAAAATTTTAGGGTGGGTCAACAATGCCAGTCAACATACAATTTCTGATCAAAGATGAATAAAGTATAGACCCACCCTTGAAGGACTTTATTGTATTGTAACAGTATTTTAGTAAATAGTATTTCAGAGTCTTTGCCTTTAGAATAAACATTCTAACCAAACTTGTCTCTTTGTATGAGAGGACATTAACTTGTTTGATTTTTCCTGTACCTACTGGTGGCATAGGTCTGAGATTGAAAATGTAATCACAAATTTATCTTTTATGTTTATATTTTGCTTCCAGTGACTGTAATAATTTTATCTACAGATGACTTCCTTATTTGTGCTGTACAACTTTCTTAAATAGCTTTGCTCCACCTTTTTATTACTGAATAGTTTACTTGGAAAAA